GATCCTCTATGACAGTGTCTGTGGCATAGATCTAAAAGTTTATTACCATATTGGTTCTTAACGTGGATGTCTTGAGAGGCTCGTTTTTTGAAGGAATTGTCTGTATTTGTAGAAACGAATATTGAATTGTCAAAAATTGCCACATCTTTTTCACTTTTGGTACGTGCATTGAAGTCCCCCGTTAGAACTACTGAGCCAAATTTTGAATATTTACTAATATCTTTTTCCAACAGTTGAAAAAGGTCTGATTCTTTCCAATCAAAGATGCTGGAGTGTTGTGGACTTAAGTAAAGTGAGCAAAGGAAAATGCTTTCGTCAAGGTTGAAGAAATCTTTGTCTAAACGAGCCCAGATAAAATCTTCACTACTACTTGGTAATTGTTTTATGCCATTTGAATAGATTTTTTTGTAATAAAAGACAATTCCTCCAGAATTGGAGCGGGCCTTTTTATGTTTTTTACTCCTGAAAGAGTGGAAATATGAGTATTTGGGGATTGTTAAATTTGAGTCTCTATCTGTTTTAGTTTCTACTAGGCTGAAAAAATCTGAAGTACTAATTCTAGCTATAAAGCATGGGTCATTAATTTTTTTAACTAAACTACCATAAATGTTCCAAGTTGAAAATGTAAGACAAGTTTTCTTTGCCGAAGAAAAAGTCATGTTAAATAGCTAGATAGGGGAAGGGGGAAAAAAAGAAAAAAATTTGATATAAGTAATAAAGGAATAAAATTCAGTGCGTACTAATATACCTGGTTCTAGGTCAATGCTTTAGTTGATTGCTATGTTCATTGCTACCGGTATTAATTGTCAATAATGTTCATGATGCAGGTAAGCAGGGTCTCAATGTGTTTGTTCTTTGAGGTATTTCGTCTACTGTCTTTGGGTGCACGTGGTCAGTCTTGTAGCTTGTTGTGGTGTTGAGTTTTTGGTGTTTTCATTTGATTCTCTGAAGTGGTGATGATAGTGTGATTTCTTTGATTTTGTACAACTGCTATATATATATAGCGCTTCATGTTGCTAACAATAAAGCGAATGCCAGTGCTGTTTGGGTGAACGTTGTCTTCAAACATGAACGATTTGATTTTGTTTTTTTTCGTCTACAAAGATATACTCTCAGGACAACAGAGCTATTCTCTTCATCTTTATAAATTCTTATAAATTTCAGAATAAACGTTCTATTGGCCGATTAAAAAACAATGGAACGTTTCCAAATGACATTGTTGTGTACTATGCTTGTTGATTGGCTGGTTTCATTCAACTGCCAGTGAAATTTACATTAAGATTTAATGCTTTCCTAAAATTTATTAGACGCAACACTGTCTCCTGGGAGATCGGCAGTGAGGTCACTAAAATTACATAACAGGAACAAAATAAGGATAACAAAATGCGAACAAAAAGGTTCATGTCTGGATTCATAAAATCACAGATGAATAATTATTATTATTAAGTGGAATTTATCTTCCATTTCCCCTTTAACACATAATTCTCCAATCCAGTTTCCAGTTCGAGTTTTTGATTTTGCATGTTAATTGTTCCAATTTTTAGGGGGGGGGGGGCTGATTATTTGTAGTTCAAATCTGATTATTTGTAGTTCAAAATTTTGGTAACTTCTATTTTAATGTCAAATTCAACATTTCTGTAGATTCTTAATTTATTCATGCTGTATGAATTGTTTGGTGTTTTTATTGCAATTATTTCTTTTTTCAAGTACTACAGTGAATTTCATGAAGGCATGAATATTTTTATATAAAAATATTTAGGAAAGTTGTATAAATTTTGAAAGAGGATTGAAAACAACTTCGACAATCACAGAAAAGAGAGGGGCAAGAGGGGTAGCTGGTACAGTTTTACGGGAAATCAAAAGGGCTTTTTACAATTTACAAGCAAAAAAAAGACGTTTTTACAGTTTACAGTGAAAATTGAATTTTGTAGTGAATTGTGTCATCTAGTCGTTTTACAGTTTCGAAAATATAATTTCCCTGGATTATTCATTATGACTTATTTTATTTGAATGTAAATTCTTGTACGTACCGGGAAAAAGGACACATTCTTACAGTGTACGAAAAAAATATTTGATTGATTACGTTGTACGTCTAGCCTGTGATTACAGAATTACGGAATTTATTTTTTCAATTTACGTTGTACGAACAAAAAAATATTACAATTACGTTGAACGAAAATATTCCTTGCCCCCTCAAATAAGGTTTTGTCAATAAATTATAATATGCAGTTATAATATTCTTTTAGTTGGCTTTCAACCATCATATCAAATGAAAACATGTCTTGCTCCCCATAGACACCCATTATACACGTAGGTGTATTTTTGAACACTCTTTATAGAAAGAACTGACAATATACCCCATATATAAATATACTCTCATAGCTATGTACTCGATAGACTTTAAAAATACTGTATTTTTAAGGTTTATATGGTACTCTCATGCCCCAAAAGACACTCTCATGACCCTATAGACACTCTTATGCCCCTATACTTTCATGACCTCATAGACACTCTCTCATGACCCTATAAGTACTTTCATGACCCCATAGATAATTCCAGAGCACAGGTTTTGTTCTCTATGCAACATTTCATGTTTTACTCACATGTAAAAATAGTTTAAGCTTGTACTAAACTTAAAGTTAGCAATTGATGATGACAACATTTGCAAGGTATCAACTCTTGAGAAATTTAGGCACTAAAGATAGCTTCATGCATTGACAGTGCTTGGTGAAAGTCATTTATTTTATTTCTATTTATAGTTTAGTCTATTTTTTCGACCATTGATTCATCATATGTTTTTTTTTTCATTCATACTAAATTTTGTGTCACATAAAATATCTATCTATTCATCTACTCACATGCTGCCTATGGGTGTTGTCATAGACACTCATGACATCATAGACACTCATGACATCATAGACACTCATGACATCATAGACACATCAGCACTGTCATGTCTGATAGAAACTCTCATGACCTCCATTGTGTGTTCTCACAACCCCATGACCCCAAGAGATACAATCATGACCCCATAGATGGTATCATGACCCCATGGGCAATCGTGACCCCAAGAGATACAATCATGACCCCATAGATGGTATCATGACTCCATGGGCACTCATGACCCCCAAGAGGTACATTCATGACACTATAGATGGTATCATGACCCCCATGACTTTTGTGATACAAATAAGGTGAACAATGGCTTGTTAGCAACTTGCTACCCCAAAATTTCTTCCAGGAGTGCTTAAAAAATAATTTTTTTTTTAAATTTTACACAAAATTATTTCTCAGAACATTGAAACCCCTCCCATAATTTGCCACAGTGCTATTAGGAGAGTTATTTGCCATTGTTAAAAGGCAAGGCCTGATCTGTCAGTCTGTAGTCAAACATGCAAACCACAGGTCAGTCATTCAGGTTATCAATAAGTGCCAATATCCAAATTGAAATAAGATGCTATAAACATCTAGATGTGTGTGACAGAAAGTTTGTGGTAATCAATTATTCAGAGACAAATATAACATTAATAAATGCTTAAGATGAACAAATCATGATAGCAATGTTGAATAATTTGAAACTACAGCAACTTTATTTTTGTGGTTTTTAAAACGAGGCTCTTTAGCTTCTCATTTGCATACAGAAATACAGTTGATGACGTGTGTAGAGGAATATTCTGGGCAGCTTGCATTGCTGATGTATACAAGGCACATTTCTTGTTCGATTTTCTCGTCTTTGGCTAAATTGCCACTCATGCACTTGTTCGTCGAGGAAGAAGAATAGACCATAATGAACACATAATGTTTATTGCATAGGGTTGAGTTAAGATGCGGAATATGTCCTAGATAATAGATAAAAAAAGCCGACTGAAAAATGTATATCGTTAAAAGTAGGTTGAATGGCGCAGTGTTATAAAAGTATGTCTCAAGAGTATATTTTGGCATTTGGTTGTGCACTATAACTTCGGGTTAGAAATCCGGAAACAGTCGGCCGTTTCAGGATAGGTTTATGAAGCTACAGCATGAGTAATATCTCAAATTTACTTGGATACAAGTAATCATTTTAAACAACAAAATCAATAACTGTCCATATATCAGTGAAACAAAAATCTAAAATGGGAAACATGTGGGTGCATGGGCATTTCACAGGCACTTGCTTGTTTTATTGAGTTGAGTTATGCATGTATATATTATTAGTCTTTTACCTGTTCCATGACTGTTCCACTGATATCTAAAGAACCACTCATTAGATTTTGGGTAAAAATCTGTGCATATTAATTACCTAATTTGCATAATAGTCAATTTTTGTTTTTTCCACTGATATCTCAAGTACTGATCGTTACATTTCAATGAAACTTGGTACACAGATGCTCTAGGACGATGCACATACCTAATTAGCTTGGGGTAAAAATCTGTCATACTAATAATCTAATTTGCATAATTAGTAAATTATATCTCAAGTACTAATCACATTTCAATGAACCTTGGTACATGGATGGTCTAGCACAATGCACAGACCTTAGTAGTTATCCATTAAAATATGTGCATATTAATCTACTGATTTGCATAATTATTAGCAAAATTTATGCATTTTCACTTTTTTTTGTGTGTGAGTATTATTAAATAGATTTTAATGAAACATGGTACAATGATCAGTTTTTGGTCAATGTGGTATGACTGTAATATCTTAAGTACTGTTGCAAATAAGAAATAAGAACTTGCAATTAGTGCTATAATTTTATTTTCTGGCAAGATATATGACCAAAATATATAGTTTTATAAATTTTGATTTTTGGTGATACTATACCGGTAGTCTATTATTCAATTACTAACCATACACTATCAATTCATTCAGAAACAACTTACCTGATCACTCGACCAGTGATTTGCATAAATTATGCATGTAGCAATACATTGTGCATAACAATTCAATTTGTGACTAGATGAAAGATGACAGACTTGCAGCCATTTTGCTTTTTTGCCATATTACTTTATCTTAGGCATGAACATTTCCCCTAATGGAGACTGTGTCATTAACAATGACTTATATTCTATAGTAGAATTCTATTATTAACATTAAATGAGAAATAATTATACTAATTTCTGGACATTTGATTTAACAAATAATTGACTTATTTGTATTTAATTCTGTCTAATTATTTATTTGCAGGTCGTTGACAAGAATGTCGATCCTGAAATGACTTTGTTGACATATTTGAGAACTAAATGTATCCTTTGCTATTTTGTCACAAGTACCATGCAAAAACCCATTACATTACATGTACCATGTTTCCACCAGGCATTGTCCATTACAGACTGGTCGGGAAAACACATCACATTACATGTACCATGTTCCCACCAGGCATTGACCATTGCAGACTGGTCGGGAAAACACATCACATTACATGTACCATGTTCCCACCAGGCATTGACCATTGCAGACTGGTTGGTGAAAACCCTCCACATTACATGTACCATGTTCCCACCAGGCATTGTCCATTGCAGACTGGTTGGTAAAAACCCTCCACATTACATGTATCGTGTTCCCACCAGGCATTGTCCATTGCAGACTGGTTGGTAAAAACCCATCACATTACATGTACCATGTTCCCACCAGGCATTGTCCATTGCAGACTTGTTGCTAAAAACCCATCACACTACATGTACCATGTTCATACCAGGCATTGTACATTGCAGACTGGTTTGTAAAAAAAACTCCACATTACATGTACCATGTTCCCATCTGGCATTGTCTATTACAGACTGGTTGGTAATAACACATCAAATTACATGTACCATGTTCTCAACAGGCATTGTTCATTGCAGACTGGTTGGTAAAAAAACTCCACATTACATTACCGTGTTCCCATCAGGCATTGTCCATTGCAGACTGGTTGGTAAAAACACTCCACATTACATTACCGTGTTCCCATCAGGCATTGTCCATTGCAGACTGGTTGGTAAAACATTCCACATTACATGTACCATGTTCCCACCAGGCATTGTCCATTGCAGACTGGTTGGTAAAAAAACTTCCACATTACATGTACCATGTTCCCACCAGGCATTGCCCATTGCAGACTGGTTGGTAAAAAAACTTCCACATTACATGTACCATGTTCCCACCAGGCATTGCCCATTGCAGACTGGTTGGTAAAAAAACTTCCACATTACATGTACCATGTTCCCACCAGGCATTGCCCATTGCAGACTGGTTGGTAAAAAAACTTCCACATTACATGTACCATGTTCCCACCAGGCATTGCCCATTGCAGACTGGTTGGTAAAAAAAACTCCACATTACATGTACCATGTTCCCACTAGGCATTGCCCATTGCAGACTGGTTGGTAAAAACCCATCACATTACATGTACCATGTTCCCACCAGGCATGGCCCATTGCAGACTGGTTGGTAAAAAAAACTCCACATTACATGTACCATGTTCCCACCAGGCATTGCCCATTGCAGACTGGTTGGTAAAAAAAACTCCACATTACATGTACCATGTTCCCACCAGGCATTGACCATTGCAGACTGGTTGGTGAAAACCCTCCACATTACATGTACCGTGTTCCCACCAGGCATTGCCCATTGCAGACTGGTTGGTAAAAAAAAACTCCACATTACATGTACCATGTTCCCACCAGGCATTGTCCATTGCAGACTGGTTGGTAAAAACCCTCCACATTACATGTACCATGTTCCCACCAGGCATTGACCATTGCAGACTGGTTGGTGAAAACCCTCCACATTACATGTACCGTGTTCCCACCAAGCTTTGTCCATTGCAGACTGGTTGGTAAAAAAAAACTCCACATTACATTTGTTCTCACCAGGCATTGCCCATTGCAGACTGGTTGGTAAAAAACACTCCACATTACATTACCATGTTCTCACCAGGCATTGCCCATTGCAGACTGGTTGGTAAAAGAACTTCCACATTACATGTACCATGTTCCCACCAGCCATTGTGGATGGCTGTTTTTATGTGAACTTGTAACTCAAGTTTCATAAACACGTATTGTGTAGGAACTATGTTCAAACAGTGATTGACATTTTTGAAAATTGTGTACCAGACACCAGGCCACTAATTTCTAAATTTCTCCAACCCTGTCATAATGTTACAATTCCTGCATTAAAAATATGTGTTTCCATTCCAAGTACGCACCACAAAAACTCAACATTTTGCAGAAACACACAATGAATAATTTCCAATTTTAAATGGTTACGTTCAGAGGAAAACTTTACCCCAAAATATTATAACAAATTTAAAGAATACCATTAGAAATTTGTACAAGGCATGTAAGTTTTACTTTGCACAAGCCCAACTGAAAAATTACTTATCTCCGGCATACAGGCCGGCAATAATTTCAAACGCTAAATTAATAACATTTTATTATAGGTACATTGTTGTTGTTGTTTTCCTGATCAATGTACTTTCAGTGAACTTTACTGGAACAAAACTTGGATGTGCCGAAGGAGGATGTGGAGCTTGCACTGTTATGATATCTAAATACTCGCCTTCAGAGAACCAAATAAGGTGGGTAATTGTATAGGAGGTGTACGTGATGAACAAAGAATTGTTCTGGTTATCATAATTTCGAGGGCCAGGCTGCATCTGACACTTCTCTTTGTAGCATCATTGAAATATGGGCTACCACGTACATGCTTAAAAGCTCATATGACTATTGCCACCATATTGGATATCTGCATAAAATTTTCTTTGGAACAATTCACCTAATTTTTACCAAGTGCATTAACATTTGACAATCTGATTATGAATGGTCACATATTTGGGTTGGAAAAAACATTTTTTTTCAGTCTTTGCAAGCAACTGAAAAGTATCTATAGATATAGCGCGCTAACATTGGATAAGCTGATATTTGGTAAAATTTAAACTAAAAGTGGTTCATTAGTAAATTTGATTACAGCAACAAAAATGTACCATCTTTAGAACCCATGACTATATACTCATCTCAAACTATTCAATTGTGTACATGCAGTTTGCAATATGGCCTTTCCTTGGATCCCTGTGATGCTGAAACTAACAAATCATATTCTTTGTCACCAGCCATTATTCTGTGAATGCATGTTTATCACCAGTTTGTGCTGTGCATGGATTGGCTGTCACCACCGTTGAAGGCATTGGCAGTACGAAAACCAGACTGCATCCTGTGCAGGTATACCTTACCTACAACTTGTCACCAACTTGTCTTATAAACTGTACAGCAATATATATATACAGTATATTTAGGTACAATGCAGTGATAACATGTGGTATTTCAAAACATAGTATTAATATTTTTTTTGCAAGTAATAGCATTCATTATTACCTGTAGATTTTGCAGTCATTTCAATTTCATAAACGTTGTGTAGACAGAACTACTTTTTAAGACAATTTTAGACATACTGATTTTATTGCACCAAATTAATGAGGAGATTCAAGTGTCTTGTTTTTGTGAATAGGAACGAATAGCTAAAGCCCATGGATCTCAGTGTGGGTTCTGTACTCCTGGTATAGTAATGTCCATGTATACACTGTTAAGAAATAATCCCCAACCTTCCTATGATGAGATGATGGCTGCATTTGAAGGAAACTTGTGTCGTTGTACAGGATATCGACCTATTATACAAGGATACAAAACTTTTACTAAGGTAAATATTTATTGTCAGGACTATACATGTAGATTGCCATACCGGTCTCTGTTGGCAGTAAACTTCTCATTGAAATTATATTCCATTACACTTTTGAATGAGTTGACTTGACATTTTTTTTAATGTGTTTTTTTGTGTGTAAAACATCATACGACAAATACCCGGTAGTGACTAATAAACATATCACAAGAAATAATCTGAGAGCTATCAATGCTGCAATTTGCGATTTCAACATTTTTAATTATTACTACAAATAAAGACTGCCACACAAATGTTAATATAAAAAATTGTGAAAGATGAACTATTATTACTATTAACTATTGTGAAAATAGAGTTTGAATATGTGAATGAACTGTGAAATGAATGGGAATTTAATTTTGGAAGAAAGGATTAAAAGACCACATAATGGGATTTTATTTAGACTAAACTATTTTTCATTGATCTATACTGTAAAACTAGCATCAGTGAACTTTGCCAGCTGAAAACATTGCGATGCAATTGACAATCACCACTCCTTTTGCAATCATAGATACCTGACATTTCAGTGCATAAACATAGAATCCTTACTTTATTAAGAACAAATTAAACTAAAAAAATAATCCTTGAAATTACATGAATAATGGCAACGAGATGTTGCTTTCAATCATCAAGGAAAAAATCATGTACTCTGTGCTGGTGTATTTATGATTCCTTTTGTCAGCCAGCATACATTGGATACAATGTCACAAAGTCTGTTATATGGCCATGGTTGGTGGTCTCCAGTACTAAGGCCTTCTATGAATGCTGTATTTCAGGAGGTCAGGTTTTATCTCATTTTTTATCGAGCCTCTCGTCTACAGTTGAATAACCTGCCTTGATTTATATTACTAATAGCACAGTCCCTCTATCTCAAGTCTAGAAACGCTTGGCAGTCTATTGTCCCAGGGCTGGTTGTGGGTAAATAAACCGTTCACACCTTGGACAATTAGTTAGAAAGCTGAGCGCACACTATACTTGAGCACTGCAATCATAAACTGCAAACAGAACAAATTACTGTGATTTATCAAAATACGGACATCTGAGAGAAAAACTAACCACATCACCAAAAAGTAAATGTACATAAAATTATCTAATAATAATAGAAAGACTTGCCGGCTAAATAATTGTGTTGAGCTTCTAAGTCTATATAAAGTATCAAAATATATGGGCTTTTTCGGTTGTAAAAACTAGAATATGCAGGGAACAATGAATTGATCATTTCAATAGAATGCTCTGCTATCAAGTGACTATGCTTCTCGGAAAGCCATACGGGTAATTCACACCTAAGACAATAGCTGTTTCCAGACCTGGAATAGAGGGACTGTGCTAAATAGGCAAACCTCTTCAGTTCAGAGATATCACACCCCTGAAAGACCTGGTAACTTCTTGAAGACATCCAATTTTCCACTGTCTATAATATTGCTGATTTAGGTGGATTACCATTTGATCAATGCATTTTATTTTTTTAGCTCTATTGTCGATTTTGTCGAGCAGAGCTTTAATATCATATGAGTGATTGTCGGTCAGTGTTCATCGTAGTCTGTGTCAATGTTTTACTTTTTTACTTCTTCTTGAAAACTACAAGCCTGAATGCTTTGATACTTGATGTATATGTACCTTGCGTAGGCCTCTCTTAGATTTGTTCATTTCATGATGATATCTTCAATTCTCTAATTTTGATGAATATTTTTGTCATTTTTGGTAAAAAGTGATATATTCGACTTCTTGTTAAAAACCGCAAGTCTGATTGCTTTGATAATACATATATAGGTACTAGATGTGGACCTCTCTCAGATTTGTTCATTTCGTGATGATGTCTTTAATTCTCTAATTTTAGTGAATATTTTTGTTATTTTGGGTAAAAAAAATTAATTTTTCGACTTCTGGTTAAAAAGTTAAAACCGCAAGTCTGATTGCTTTGATATTACATATATAAGTACTACATGTGGACCTCTCTCAGATTTGTTCATTTTGTGATGATATCTTTAATTCTTTTATTTTGGTGAATATTTTTGTCATTTTTGGTAAAAAGTGATATTTTCAACTTCTTGTTGAAAACCGCAAGTCTGGTAGATTTGATATTACAAATATAGATACTACATGTGGACCTCTCTCAGATTTTTTCATTTCGTGATGATATCTTCAATTATCTAATTTTGATGAATATTTTTGGTGAAAAGTGATATTTTACGAATTCTTGTTGAAAACAGCATAATGTTCATTTTCTAATGATATCTTCAGTTCTTTAATTGTAATGTGCATTGGTAACAGCGGAGCTATCTCTGATGACAGGCTGGTGTTTTTCATTTGTGTCAAATGAGTCTTGCAAACAAGGCTGTTGTATCATCTCGGATCAAGTTTAAAACATCATGGGCTTGTTGTAATTTTTCTGATTTTATGTAAGGATTGTGTATGAGTTTTTTGTTTTGCATCGATCTTATCATCTATGATACTCCTTGTGAAGCTCATTAATATTCATGAATATTTAACAAGATGTTTAAGTGGAATTCTATGCAAAAATAAAATAAGTCTTAATAAGTATTTTACAGTAACTGTTTTTAGCAATAATAAAAGTTGCTGGTTGGTAGAATATCAGTGATAAAAATTGTGAAAATACAGTGGTGATACTGGTATGTAGGAGTATAATTTGATTGTAGACTCCAATTTGTTTTTCAATTTCCATAATTTTTTGTTGTTATTTTTGGCTCAATCCTGAGTTTCTGCAGTTTTGCATACTAATTACCCATTTTCAATGTAACTTAAATTGATATATAGCTTCTCTGGGGTAAGCTATATACATGATTTGTGTAGGGTTGAATTTAGTGCGTACTGATTACTCAATTCAATTAGCCAATTTATAGGTGTTCCACAGATATCTTCAGTAACACTCATCAAATTTACGTGGTCTTGGATAATCCACAACTGATTAGTTTAATGGATGAATATTATTTAATTAACTTAATTTGCATAAATTTTCTGTAATTAATTTTTATCATTTCATCCAGGGCTAATTTTAAAATGTGTTTATCTGGCAGACTATATAATCTCTGCTAGTATTTAATTTGAGCAAAAATAATTTTATTGGTAATCTACCAAGTTCTGCTTAAAACCACAAATTGGCATCATTTCATTGGCCCAAATTTCAGCACCATACATGAGTATAGGTGAAATTAACTGGTCAAAAAATGTAATACTCGATAGAAATGACACACAAGACGGGATTGTCATTTGAAGTGGAGAAAGTGAGTGTAACACAAGGTATTGCCATGTGTCACGACATAGTGACACCAAAAACCACTGAGTGTCATTATGAGGTGGTGACATCATTATGAGGTGGTGACATCATTATGAGGTGGTGACATCATTATGAGGTGGTGACATCATTATGAGGTGGTGACATCATTATGAGGTGGTGACATCATTATGAGGTGGTGACATCATTATGAGGTGGTGACATCATTATGAGGTGGTGACATCATTATGAGGTGGTGACATCATTATGAGGTGGTGACATCATTATGAGGTGGTGACATCATTATGAGGTGGTGACATCATTATGAGGTGGTGACATCATTATGAGGTGGTGACATCATTATGAGGTGGTGACATCATTATGAGGTGGTGACATCATTATGAGGTGGTGACATCATTTGACAGAAGACTAAAGATGTATTTGACTTTGGTCATTTTAAAGGGCGACACCAATTTCAAAATGCAGGGGGTGGTTTTGTGAACTGCAGAAGTTACATACAGCGAGGCATTCAGATAGTATGCTAAGATGTAGCAAATGGTTGAGCAAATGAATCTTTACCCTAATCTTCATCTCTGTGACTTCATCGAATTGAGGACAAAGACATTTACAATGACTTGTTGTCTTTCAGGAATATTGCTGTGGTGATGCTGGAGTTAATGGATGTTGTCAAAATCAAAATGCAACAACACAACAGGAGGAGGAGGAAATGGTATGTAAAAGTCATCAATATTTTATAACGCAAAATAATAAGTGTCATATTCTATTGAGTTTTCTCGCAACAAGCCCTTACTGACTGAGAACTGAGCCGTCTAGACTGAGCCTTGGGTCCTTATTAAATTAAAATAGTCCATATTTATCTATTTATTTATTTTCTATCAAACATGTGTTTGGTCATTTCATAGCTCATTTAATTTGTAGAAAAAAATGATACCGGTAATACACTTTTCAGATGTCATGACAAAGTTATTGGATATACTGAACAAAATTCCTTGTATTGAATGGGGTTGAGTTAATAATTTAATGCAGCTGGTCTGTTTCTTCTTTTTTATATGATAATTCCCATGTTATATTTAATTTTAATTTTAATAGTTTATTTATATATTTATTATATGTGTTTTTATATATGATAGGAATAGTCTTACTAAAATTAGAATCATTTCTCCATCTACTAAGTACAAATGATGGTTTCATTGTCAACAATCTGGGCAAATTTATTAGTTTTTATTTGGATGCAGTTCAAAAACAATGACTTTTGGATTGATCTTTGTATTTTCATCAGTGCGTTAGTCTTTACATTCGTCTGGACCTGTATCATTTCATGACATGAGTTATTAGCTTAATTTTAAATAACAATAAACTATATTTTTTAGTCCCCATTGAGACACAGTCCGAAAACGAGGACTTATGGATTGACCTCTGTGCGTGTGTATATCTTAGACATGCCTTGACGATCTGATTCAAGATGGCCGAATGGCAGCCATTTTTGTGGTGAAAAATCATCAAAATCAAGCATTTATGGATGGATTTTGTTTAAACTTGTTACATACATTAGACATTATGGGTTCCTGATGCATGTCATTTTATTTTTTAGATCGGATTAAAAATGGCTGACGCACTGTCATTTTATTTTAATGAATGGGCTCCTAGAGCCATATCTCTGACATGCTTTGACTGATTATATTCATTCTATACACATCATATTATAGAATATATAAATGTATTCAAAATGGCCGACCGTGGCCATTTTGTTTTAATTAATGCTGTTCCAAAGCAATATCTCTCAGTATGGACAAGTACTCATTTGACAATCAGATACAACATGTCAATCATGTTAATGTTAAAAAATCATAATCAAGCATCAGCTTCTGGATTCATATCTCTGACATGTTTATGTTCCAAGTATAAACAAAACTATCCTAAATTTGATAACTGATGGGGAATGTGCCATGCATGGCTTGTTTTGTTATTTATTTTATATGTTGCACATTTTAATGTTGTGCTTGTGTTGTGTTTTTAGTTGAACATAAATATCATATTCACTACATGATTTCATATCTAATAAAAATATGTTATATACTGTTAATTTATTGTTCAGTTGTCTTCCACTAAGCTGTATAATGCAAATGAGTTTGTACCATTTGATCCTACACAAGAGCCAATATTTCCACCAGAATTGAAGGTAAGTCAATATACTCTGTGACTTGTATGTTAGAGGATACTCTGCTTGAGTTTATGAATTTTAAAACTTGTTTTTAGTATATTTATTAGTTCATTCTGAGCTATTACTACTGCAAAAAATATTCAGTTGAAAATAATTAGTATTTTATTGTGAATACTATTGTGCTTATTGATATGTGTGTAAACCACATAATAGAACCACCCAACAGATTTAAATGTAATTTAATTTGGTGCATACAGAATGAGAAATAATTTTAGATATTTCCTATTTCTGTTTAATGTTTCCAATATTCTTACTTACAGATTGCATAAATTATAATTTTTCTTATAGTATAATCATAATTTTATTATTTATGTTATAATACTAAGAATCATGCAGATCAATATAGTAAGACCGTGCAGTTCTGTAGCGATAGATTGAAATGGATCAGACCAGTGTCAATTGATGAAATACTGGACTTAAAAGCTCAGTATCCAGACGCAAAGCTAATTAATGGTAACACAGAAGTAGGTAGGTAGTAGTTTACAAGATGTATGATGAGTTTCAATTCTTAATTTCTGTAAAACTCATTGATTTCACTGCTTGGAATGTTTGCCATTTGATAATTCTAAGACAAAATTTCACAAAGTTACTGACACACTATGTCATAGGATCCAAAGAAAATGTTCATTGCTACAAAATTTATCACTAATTCTTGAAAGTCAAGGTCATCTCAAGATCACATGTCACTTTGTCATATTGTCTAACTTTGTAATTTTCAATTCAATCACATGTCACGTACAGTAACCAAATAATGCAAAAATATATTGGCAAGGTCACTTAATTGTAATATAATTTTTAACATTGCTCTTGTTAATTTAGGTGTTGAAGTGAAATTTAAGAACCAACACTATCCAGTATTATTGACTCCATCACATATACCAGAACTGAAGAGAGTTGAAATAACTGATACTGGTGTGGTTTTTGGAGCATCTGTTTCACTCTCAGTGATAGATAAAGTACTCAAGAACCAAATAGAATCACTTCCAGGTTAGACTTTGATTAAATCATTTCTGTGTCCACTTATGATTGAATTACATTCAGATCAGGTCAGGTCAGTTATGATTAAATCACTTCCAGATGTATGTTATGATTGAATTACTTCCAGGTCAGGTCAGGTAAGGTAAGGTAAGGTCAGTTATGGATTGAATTGAATTGCTTCCAGGTCAGGTCAGTTGTGGATTGAATTACTTTCAGGTCAGTTATGGATTGAATTACTTCCAGGTCAGATCAGGTCAGGTCAGTTATGGATTGAATTACTTCAAGGTCAGGTCAGTTAAGATTGAACCACTTTTACCTCAGGTAAGGTCATTTCAGTTATGGATTCAATTACTTCCAGGTAAGGTCAGGTCAGGTCAGCTCAGGTCAAGTCAAGTCAGTTATGGAATGAATTACTTCCAGATCAGGTCAGTTATGATTGAATCACTTCTACATCAGGTCAGGTCAGGTCAGGTCAGGTCAGGTCAAATTACTTCTAGGTCAGGTCAGGTCAGTTGAAAATCAGTATTGTTTGATTCATCACATTTCTTCGGCCACCACTAAACTGTGATTTATTAATAAGTTTTCAAAGCTTAGCATTGTATAAAGGGGTAAGGTAACCTGTACCATAACTTACCCACTTTCTTTAACCCGGCTACGTAAAATCATTTTAACCCAAGTTAAAAATTGTTAAACCTAATTAAAACTTTATATATAGTTTAATTAAATTGCATTTTCACATAGGATTGCAATTTAGTTATCACATTGCAATGTTATATATCATTGCAGTTTAATTCAAAATCACAAATCAAGGTTTAGTGCTGTAGTGGTCACCTATTTCTTTGACATTTATAATTTATATTTTCAGTACCATGAGTTGAAAAATCATATTTTGTTACTTGTTATGAATTAAAAAATCTGTTGAATACTATTATTTTTTTTGGAAAAGTTCCAAAAACCAATATTTAGTAAAAAGGAAACCAAAATTAATGTTCTATGAATTAGTAATTGTGCAATGCTTTTGAAACTTTGAGTGGTATAGTGGTATGTTTTTGTGTCCAATTTACTAAGTCAAATGTCCACAAACAGCATTAATTTGTTATGTATACTACAGTCTGCCACGGAATTAAGTATCAGTACTAATTGTAGTCTATTATCATTAAATATGCTGTACTCTATTATCATTCTTGTTTCTATTTCAGAATATAAGACTGGTGTATTTTCTGCTATTGTGGAAATGTTACGTTGGTTTGCTGGTCCACAAGTTAGGAATGTGTCGGTAAGATCATCTTTGATTCATGTACTCATATACTATACAGAATATTAGGGTGATTATGCAGAGCTTATCATGATGGATCTCTGCATTTTGAACTTTTTCTCTATGGACTAAGATTAAATCTAATTATTTATAGTGATCGATTCTGCCCTGACATGCTCAATCATGTTGGAGGGGGCAGAGTAGCATCGCTATTTCACATCACATTGCTTCTGCTAAACTCCTCAATGGTTAAAACTAACATTACATTATGCAGTTAGTGATAATAACTTAAATTTTAATTTAATTATTGTGAATACATTTGATTTCTTCTAAAAATATTTGAGCCAGAATTCTTTCATTCCTACCCTGTCCATTTCATGGAATGAGTGACAGCAGTCAAAAATGTATATATGCCTACCATTTGCATTAATTATTACAAAATAAAATATATCATTCAAATTGGTTTTCACCAAAAAATACTTTTTAAGATAACTAATGTTAGATAGATGTTTGATAGTAAAATGGATCACTATTCATTATATGATAATTAGTGACGCATGTCATTATTCATTAGATGATAATTAGTGACACTGGTCGCTATTCATTAGATGATAATTAGTGACACAGGTCACTTCATTAGATGATATTTAGTGACACAGGTCACTATTCATTAGACGATAATTAGTGACACAGGTCACTATTCATTAGATGATAATTAGTGACACAGGTCACTATTCATTAGATGATAATTAGTGACACATGTCACTATTCATTAGATGATAATTAGTGACACAGGTCACTATTCATTAGATGATAATTAGTGACACATGTCACTATTCATTAGATGATATTTAGTGACACAGGTCACTATTCATTAGATGATAATTAGTGACACAGGTCACTATTCATTAGATGATATTTAGTGACACAGGTCACTATTCATTAGATGATAATTAGTGACACATGTCACTATTCATTAGATGATATTTAGTGACACAGGTCACTATTCATTAGATGATATTTAGTGACACAGGTCACTATTCATTAGATGATAATTAGTGACACAGGTCACTATTCATTAGATGATAATTAGTGACACAGGTCACTATTCATTAGATGATAATTAGTGACACAGGTCATCATAATTTATAGTAGTGACACAAGTTAAAATTCATTAGATTATCTAATTATTACCGGTAACTTGCGTTATAATTGTAATAGTCTTTTCTTCTGATTTCAGGCAATCGGTGGTAACATAATTACAGCTAGTCCAATATCTGACTTGAACCCCTTATTAATGGCTGCCGGATGTAAACTGACTTTAATATCTAGAAGTAAGTGTTTTAATCGCAGATGTTAAGTGGTATTCAATACATTGATTAATTAAAATATTATTACAATTAATATTTCGTCATAATTTTCTTTCTGTCATAATGATATGTTTAGGTGGTACCAGAAATGTTGTTATGAATGACACATTTTTCACTGGGTACAGAAAAACTTTACTAGAAAAAGAAGAGATTTTACTGTTTGTTCACATTCCACATACAAGACAGGTAAGTGTTTGAAAGGTGAAGAATTCCTTGTAGTTGACGAGGGGAACTGTGATACTGTATTTTCAAATCAAAATTCAATTTTGCTGATCAAGACAAATTTTTAATGAATTTGGAAAGTGTTAAAAACGTAGATCTGCATGTTGATTGTACTTTGGATATATACACCTACACAATGGAAAGTCTGGATGAATGTGAATATAATGATAAACTATCATTTCAAATATGATGTTGTAGTTTATGCTGCTCAACTTGATATCTCTGTTGTGTTTTCCATGTGAATATGTGTTACAATTAAATCATAGAAGGCCAAGTAGAATGAAGTAAGTAATGATCTTTGTATGCTAAACTTTTACCTAAGGTAATCAAAACAATAAGCTGTTTGTTATCAATTATTTTTTTTCTATAGGATGAATATTTTTATGGTTACAAACAGTCGCCAAGACGTGAAGATGACATCGCCATAGTCAATGCCGGTATGAGGGTCATTTTTGAACCAGGCACACATATAGTTAGAGAGATTGCACTAAGTTTTGGCGGAATGGCTCCTACTACTGTCTTGGCAACTAAAACAATGAAAGCCTTGGTTGGCAGGTGAGAATCAGTTATTGTATGTGTTGTTAGAATGACTCAGTCCTGCAGTAACTGGAAACTCAGAAAATTCTAACAGCGCTGACTTTTGTTTTCGTGCTACAAACTTTCTCAACAAGTTCTAAAAAAGTCACGTACAATTGTCTATTTCTTTTCAATTTCCAGAAAATGGGAAGAAAATATGCTGGATGATATATGTGAATTGTTAAAGAAGGATTTACAGTTGTCGCCATCAGCCCCTGGTGGAATGATAGAATACCGAAAAACTCTCACCGCTAGTTTCTTCTTCAAATTTTACCTTACCGTGATGAATAAACTCCATGCAAAAGAGGTAATAACAGGGTACCCCCAGCAAAGAAAGGACTAATTTTCAATTACAGTATTTATACCAATATTGATCATGTGACCTATTGTTCTGATCATGTGACCTATTGTTCTAGCCATGTGTTTATTTCTGTTATGCCACACTTGAGTTGTATTCTCACTAGATGAAATAAGGCAATGTCACAACGCCTTTTATTTGAGAACGTTGTTAAAATGTGTGTGTGAACAGAATACGCCATTGTGGCGCCGGCACCATCGTAAAAGGGGTGGACCAGATCCTAAACGCTGTTGTCACACCGGCTCTTGCACAATGGAATGTACTGTGTGAACACAATACGACGGCCAAAAGCCCTCTATCGCCCACTTATTTATGCTTGACATTACACAAGAAGTCAAATTTTCTAGCCAATCTCTGTTATCCAACGTTCGTAACACTATTTCTTCTTACCAGTTATTTCTGCGTTGTTGCCTTCTTCTCGAGTGTAAAAACACATGGAAAAACAGAAACAAAGCAAATGCATTTACAGGAGGGGACGCCATTTTGTCGATTCATCTTTCTTTTGTTATTGACCTTTCTGTGATATGATTCGTTGATGGCGCAAAACACTGGTGTTTTTGCTAAGTGACAACGCGAGCAGACAATTCAACAGATTAGCTAATATTTGCACAACCAAAAAACACCTTCGTTTTTTAGACATGTGAGAACATGTGAGCTTTGATCTTTTGTAGATTTTTAATCAGCCACAGTTTTCATCATATACAGATTAGTAATCACCACGATTTGTTTCATTTGCATTTTAGTAATAACCATGATTTTTTCATTTGCATATTAGTAATAATCACATGTAGATTGGTAGTTTGCACATTTGTTAGTGTACGATCTTCAAACTTCCCCATGTTTCAAGGTTTGGAATGAATGCGAGTTGTTTCTCAACTAAGCTTGAACCTTGACTCTTATACTGGTACTGATACATTAGTCACAAATCATGTCTTGTATTCATGCTGTTTCAAGTGTAACAGTCTCACTTGCAGTCAGTTTTTCATTCAATTTAACTCCTTCTGACAGGTTATTGAAGCCTCAGTTCCCTCATCTTACAAGACTACCATATCACCTTTACAAAGAGATAACATCAAAAGTTCTCAGTTGTATCAGGTGAGTTTTTACAACACAATGTGTTAACGACAATTAATATACAATAATAGGGCTTTGGGAGAAGCAAGACCTTTCTTAAACAGTTTATGGAAGAATTTTGGTACATTAATATGTGTTCTAATTGGTAATAATTTGCTAGTGTTTGAATTATGTTAATGATAAGTGCTAAATTAGTTAAACTAATCAAATAAGACAATATCAAATTTTTGTTTGTGTATAGATAGATAGATAGGTCTCTCCAGCTTTCACATTCCTATGTATATCTTGTCATTCTCTCATCATCATTCATAATCCTGTTATTCCTCCTGTTCTCTTCTATTTCTTCTTCCATTATTCTGCCATCCATCTCTTGTCATCCCCCTTTCATGATTCTCCCGTACTCCTTTCAGATTTCTCGCATCCTTCTCACATACTCCTTCCAAACTTCTCCTGTGTGTCTTTCCTATCATTACCTTCCCTATTTTAGATTGATTTATTCAGAATTCATTTTAATTTGATTGTTGCTTTTGGAGTCGTCACCTGCGCATGCGTCAGATGGCCATAGCGTGTCATTGTTTACAAACAAGCCTCTACCCACCCTTTGCGTTTTTAGCGTGTGTTGTTATCGTCATTTGGCACTCAATTCCTGCGCAGGTGACGACACTCCTGCTTTAATACTGTACCAACACTAATTATGGGTTTACATGTTTACTGCTTATTGTTTACCATTATAGGAAGTTGCTGATGGTCAGCCTGCAGATGATGCAGTAGGTCGACCCTTAGTTCATCTTTCAGCTTTTAAACAAACAACTGGAGAAGCAATTTACTGTGATGACATCCCTCCCATAAATGGTATTTATTTTAACTCGTGTTCAATATCGTGATTTGTTAAAACACATAATTACCTTATTGTCGATCCAAATTCAGCTTTAAATGACCCTCAGACAATTTATTGACCTATGCTGAGCCTCAGTTAACTCTAACTATTAAAGTTAAAAATAAAATAATTAAAAGTTTATTATTATATGTTGCACGTATTGTAAACATATGCTACATTTGTTGTGGGTAGCAGACAATTTATCAAACATTTCCTAAAAAGTAATTTATTTGAATTTTACAGATATGTTTCCTAGTCTTGTCTTGTTATGCATACTAGTGTATTAAATAGACATTGAATATAGACAGTCAAAAGAAAAAATTATTTTATCAGCAATCATTAGAATTGTTGTGAATGCAAATTAAATTGCTGTTACATTAGTCATCTTTCTTCACATTAATGAACCCGGTATGCTGAATACAATTATTTTTTTTGACTCACGTGTGCGAAGCACAAAAGGGAGTCTTTGCAGTTACCCTGTCTGTATGTATGTATGTATGTATGTATGCATGTACATTTTGTATGTATGTATGTCACTTTTTTTGTTCCACCGTTATCTCAAGAACCACTAATCAAATTTTGGTGAAACTTGGTACATAGATGCTCCGGGATAATGCGCAGAGCTGATTAGGTTTTGGTAAAAATCTATGAATATTAATTACCTAATTTGCATGATAATTAGCTGATTTTTAGCTGTTCCAAGACTGTTCCACAGATATCTGAAGAACCACTCATTGGATTTTAATGAAACTTGGCACATGGATGCTCTGAACTAGTGCGCAGATTTGATTAGTTTTGGGTAAAAATCTATGAATATTAATTACCTAATTTGAATGATAATTAACTGATTTCAAGCTGTTCCATGACTGGTCCACTGATATTTGAAGAACCACTCATTGGATTTTGATGAAACTTGGCACATGGATGCTCTGAACTAATGCGCAGATTTGATTAGTTTTGGGTAAAAATCTGTTAATATTATTAATTACCTAATTTACATAATGATTAATCAATTTTTGGCTTTTCCACTGATATCTCAAGTACTAATCATAACATTTCAATAAAACTTGGTACATAGATGTCATATGACA